GCACACATACAAAAAGTTCACAACAACAACAGTAACTTTTAAACTAGGTTGAAGTTTTGTTATATGTAATACATTATTGCGAAATAAAAAACTTGATTGGTAAAACTTTTTTCCGACTTTGCGAGCAAGAGATCGGGCTTTTGCCTCTCTCTCTCTCTCTCCCTCTCTCTCTCTCGTATAAAAGTAGCACTGCGGCTCTCTTAAATCACGCGCGCACCGACAACACGTCCGACCTACCAAAGCACTATTTGTGCACTAAAACTACAGCCAGTGGCAGCCGACAACAGCAGCTAGCGAGATCATACAGTCTTCGTGTGAACATGTTGGTCTTCGGACTTGTTCTTGCAGCCACTTCGTTTTATGATGTGTTATGCCTTTCCCAACAGGGTTTTATTTAACACTGCAACAAAAACTAAACTCTGAATGAATGTCTTTACACGCATACATACTTACATACTTATTTTCACATTTTATACATCAATCATTTCTTTTAAATATACTAATGTATATTTCTGATTAGACCATATTACAATCCCATGCCAGCTCTGTTTGATTAACATTAACCCTTTACATTAACATTTTATTTGTAAGAATTCATATTTATATTCTTGATCAGCTGCAAAAACCGTTTGATTTTCCATTTTCACCTGTCTCGTTATTTGCATACATTTAGGAAAATGTATTTAAAGTGATTTATTCAATTAGAGATTTTATTTTCTTACATATTATTTCAATTCAATTAATTGTGATTACCTTTCCACATAACATTTTCACAGATATCCATTTTTTTTTGGAGTTTTCTTTTTACAAGCATGTGAAACTATCCCAAGGAATACGATTTAAATGTGCATCCATTAAAGATAATTATGCACGGATAACGGGCTGAAAGTAGACTGTTATTTCCTGTATATCCATTCCTGTACAGATGTTTGTATCCTTGTATCCTCATGCCCACTTTCCCATTTGCATACGCTCTGCAGTTCAAGGACAAATTTAATTGCACATTTTAAAGAACGGATGTAAATTTACGCGTCTTGCGTGTCGGCTCTTACGAATAGAAATTGTTATATACTCAAAAACAAACAAACGGGTTTACATTTCAAAGTATTCTAAAGAAATCTGGAGGACTAGTCAGTTATGTCGGCCTACAATGATTTTCCTATTCAATAAGTAAATAAAGTAAAATAAGCAAATATATAGAAATTCGTAGTCAAGGCTGCGAAACTATTTCGAGGCAAACTGGTTCGAGTCCAATTGTTTATTGTGCTTGAGTTTCCCTTTGCAAGAAACCCGGAACTTTCATAGGAGAAGCTTTTTACCCAAAAGGGCATCCTTAAAATTGTGGCCGTAGTTTCGTTTGTAATTTTTATTAATTTTATTAAATTTATGTTTACTATACAAAAAACCAGAGTTCGTGAGTCGCACTCTTAAGACCGAAGAGTTCTTCTCACAAAATAAGCTTTCGATATCGATTCTTATCGATTCCTATCGAACGCGGGCCATATTAACTGTGATTCAAAAACAGCTCATGAGAATTATGTTCAAAATTTACATTTTTTTCATAAGTTATGAACCAAAGAAGACATCTAATAATTATCATGCTCCTTACAAATGAGCCAAATTGTATGAACATTTTTCAACTATATCGCAATCATTCGAAAAATAAGCTTTGGCGAAAATCGTTGATCACCTTTTTAATTTCAAGATTCTCAATAAACTCATCATATAACTTATCATTTTTTTATATTAGTTTTATTTTAGTGTAGGGCGTTGAAAATGAGACTTATGCCGATCAGCTAGATAATACGCTCGTCTAAGTGTTGACTAAGGTCATAACAGGTGCTGATCAATGAGTCAGTCAGTCAATCACTCAATCAGTCCATTAGCATTAACAGTTTAACCCAAAGGGGAAAATTAGTAGGCATTATCGACTGTATAACGGCTTCAACTTTCTTGCGCCCACATACCTATGTAAATAGTTCGAATTCACCGTTTTTTTATATATGTATTTGAATTCTTACATACTATGTACATTTACATAAGTATGTATGTAAATACTTATCCTAACAATGAAGTGCAGCGAGTAGCATTTTAATGGCCTTGATGCTTACATACATGTGCATTAGTGTGTATGTAAATGTAATGAGCTGCACGTGCCCGTACCCTTTCTTCTTAAAGGAGACAATTAAATTTAACCTTGAACTAGACATTCTGCACTCTACTTTTGGAATTTACTTATGTAGCCCTATTTAAATGAGCATGTGAGCATTCAACTATTTCCTAGTTCAGTTTGCTATGCCATGAAAAGGAATGTAGTTTTAGTGTGGAAAGTAGAAAAGATACAAACATGTGTACTTATATTCAAATGTATTAACATACAAATTAGCTGCTAAGTACTTAAACAGCCAACATATGTAATGTAAAGGCTATTTATCGATTTATATCGGAGTGTTAGCGATAGTTTTAGAAACATAGCCATCTCGATTATCTGGCCATCGCTAGCCAGCGGCGAAATAAAATAAAAGCATCGATCATATATTGAGACTTGTTAATATTAAAAATGAACGTCCGACTTATTCAAACACGAAACAATTATCTAAATATGACAAGCTTTTTTAGAAGACGTAAGTAATTCTCAAAGATTTATACTTGTGAAAATTGAGTAGGCGAAGCATTTGACGACGTCAATTCTGCGTGATCAAAGTCCATTTATTTTAGAGTAAAGTACAGATCCAAATAAATAAGTATGTTGCAGTTGTCATAAGATGAATTAACTACGTCACGCACTCAGAGGCGATTTCTGGGCTCAAATTCCACGAATATATGTATTTAGCCGAATACGCCGCCCTTATAGGCAGCCAACTGATGTTGAATCTTAAGGGCGTATACTATAAAAAACGAATCAAATTAATGACCATGAAAGCATATGCATATGTACAGTTATATAAATACAATAAATATTGAAGATAGTTGTAAGAATAATTCGCGAAATATTTATTAATTTTATACTTCAGTTGGACACAGGCAAATGTCCGTCCAAGCCGCAGTACAACCCAAACGAAGCGGAAACAGCCAAAACATTGTGCTTGTCGATGGAGTTCGTACGCCTTTTCTGACATCTGGTACATCATACTCGAATTTAATGCCCCACGAGTTAGCTAGGCATTCGTTGCTGTAAGTTCTTTTCGATATGAAAACAATACATTGCTTTTGTTAATAATATATTTGTGCATATAGATCTCTATTGCAAAAGAGTAAAATCAACAAGGAACTTGTTGATTATATTGTCTATGGCAGCGTTATTCAGGAGGTAAAAACTTCGAATATTGGGCGCGAGGCAGCGCTAGCGGCTGGATTTAGCGATAAGACACCTGCCCACACGGTTACAATGGCCTGCATTAGCTCCAATGCGGTAAGAACTGATGCCTGGCTCTCTAAAACAACTCAATACATGCCAGTCCTTTGTTATATATACAATTTCAGGCAATAACAACTGGCATGGGACTTATTGCTACGAACACGTACGATGTGATTGTTGCTGGAGGCGTTGAGTTTATGTCTGATGTGCCAATCCGGCATTCGCGCAAAATGAGAGCGCTTATGTTAAAGGCAAATAAAGCAAAAACGCTTGGACAGCGGCTTTCGTTACTCTCGACATTCAGGCCTGGATTCTTGGCTCCGGAAGTATGTAAAAAAAACTTATCAACTCAAGCTTTAGTTATAAATGTTTTTCTTTTTTATGTAAATTACAGTTGCCGGCTGTTGCAGAGTTCTCGTCTGGAGAGACTATGGGTCACTCCGCCGATCGACTGGCATCGGCTTTTAATGTCACACGCAAAGAACAGGACGACTACGCTTTAAGATCCCACACCTTGGCCAAAAAAGCTCAGGAAAATGGATACTTTACGGATTTGGTGCCTTTTAAAGGTATGTAAATAATATTTGATTGCACGCAATATTTTACATAAAAACGTTACTATTCAAGTTCAAGGTGTTGATCAAGTTGTCGATAAAGACAACGGCATTCGAGTCTCCAGCCCAGAAAGTTTGGCAAAGCTCAGACCAGCGTTTGTGAAACCTTATGGCACAATTACTGCTGCCAACGCTTCCTTCTTGGTACGTCTTAGAAATACTATATAAACGAACTATCATCAATTTGTTGTACTTTTAGTCTGACGGTGCATCAGCTTGTCTAATCATGACAGAGGAGAAAGCCAAGCAGTTGGGCCTAAAGCCCAAAGCATTTTTACGTGATTTTCTTTATGTATCTCAAGATCCTGTCAACCAACTGCTATTGGGTCCTGCCTATGGAATACCCAAGCTCTTGAAGAAAGCCGGAATCACACTGAAAGATGTGGACACTTGGGAAATTCATGAAGCCTTTGCTGGTCAAATTGTGGCCAATTTGAAAGCCTTAGATTCTGATTGGTTTTGTAAAACATATTTGGGTCTGAACGAGAAAGTAGGGGCTGTAGATTTAACCAAGTGGAATAACTGGGGTGGATCACTATCTATTGGTCACCCATTTGCTGCCACAGGAGTTCGTCTATGTATGCACACCGCCAACCGCCTGGTACGCGAGGATGGAAAGCTTGGTGTAGTTGCGGCATGTGCTGCTGGTGGACAAGGCGTGGCCATGCTTATAGAGCGTTATCCTGGAGCAAGCGCCGACTGAATATATAATTTGCTAAGTACTTTTCAATAAAATATCTTTTAATAAATATACTTATTGGTGCTACACTGATTATAAAGATTTTACCCAAAACTGCAAACTGACTACGAAACAGTTCGCACCCGGAATATCAAATTATCTGTCTACCGGCACACTGAATATTAAATACCCTTGTTGCTATATGACATGGCTTTGCAGTGAAAAAGTGAAGCTTGTTTATGCCGGAAAACAATATTTTGCCACCCAATCTTATTTCGCTATAGAATCGACATTAATGTGCAATCTTTTTTTTATTTGAGATATCTTTAAAATAAGAAGAAAATCCATATAACATACATTTTCAACTTGTAATGTAATTTAACATCTGCTTCTAACTATTCACATTGAATGTACATAACTTCTTAGTTGACCCTAGTTGTTGATTTGATTTAATTAAGTTAATTAATCTGTTTCATAAAGCTGTTTCTGTTTAAGCTTGGTTTGTAGAACATCGTTTTCATTGTAGGAAATGTGCAGCGGAGGTATGAGAGCACATGCCACCATTCTGCCCTCTGCGTTAAGGAAATTGAACGTGGCACACGCCTGCAAAGAAAAATATTTCAGGTGGTAGATGGATTTAACAAATGTGGAAAATCATACATACCTGTTCTGTCCGAAGAACCTCGACGTTTGTTTTGTACTTTTTCATGAATTTAATGATGCGTTTTGTTAGGTTTGGTGTTGGATTCTGGTCTCCAATTCCAATTATAAGTACATCTATCTTTGGCTCCAGTGTCGGAAAAAGTGAAAGACTTTCCTCGTTTATATCGTCAAATGAGTTTATGTTCCATGACAGTACTGACCTAGAATGTTCAAAATTCTTAAATGGAAATTAAGTTACATGTTGTATGCACATGTGTCACTTATACACACCTGGGAAATACTGTAATAGGTCCTATTAAGACCATATTATTGTTTAGCCGGAATCCGTACTGACTATAGCCTGTGATCATAAGGCCCATGTCTGTTTCCGTGTTAAATATTGAGACTTTTGTTTTTCCATCATAGTCATACGCTTTGCTGAGTCTTGGCGATACCGTTGATATCAGACGCCGGCGTCCCAAGGACTGGGACAAACTCATTCCAGCAGCCTTAAACGCCGCAGTTCTTAACGCTTGTATATTCATTTGCCCTTGTTTATTACTTAACCTAATCGGGAAGAACTAAAACAAATCTAAAATGTATCGATACAAAATCAAATGCATCGATATTCGAATGTATCGATTGTCGATGCGACATATGAAAACAAACATGTTTCTAACACTTAACGTTTTATTATAGCGTCCAACACGTAACATTTTATGATAGCGTCCATAATATATTAACTCTTTGTAAGTTTTCTGAGGATGACTTAAAGTAACACTAGAAAAACATGGTGTACCCTGATATTTATTTATCAATCAGGGTTAGGTACAATCAGGCCGAAATGAGAAGAAAACAACGCCAAGATGCGATCCACTGCGGTTTTCGACATGAGTACGCAGAACTGTGCGAAACGATAAAACTGCCGATAAGCTGCCGGAGGCAGTACTTGGTGTCACCGTATTCGCCGCGGCGCTACCATGACCCTGTCTGTCTGATTATATGTGAACTTATCTCGATGCATAGGACTTTCTCTTGCATACATTAGTTCAATTGTGATCCTTATATCGGACCACTTTAATATATAGCTATTATAGGAAAGATCGGCTCAATGGTAGGATCTTATGGGGCAAAATATTCTGTTTTCAAAGACATTTCAACAAACTCAGCTTCCGATTCAGATTCGTAGAAATGAATTTGAATCAGAAACATCACCCACCAAGTCTTTGATGCCCATTTTCATCAAGAAGTAATAGATTTTCTAGAAAGTGTGAGTTTGAGGCTGATCGGATGGTAAACACGATTCGGGATGTGCGTTTATGGCCAATCAGTCAGTTAAGACAATAAGTCTCATATATACGAATTATTTAAGTTATTTTAAATAAAATAATGCTTCAATTTATCGAGTGAATTCAATATCTAACATTTTATAAGTTGATAAAAGTCTCAATTAAACAGATGTGCCCAACGGTATTCTGTACAAATGCCTTGATATAAAACGCGAATGTTGGGAATATAAAACGCGAAAGGTGGGAATATAGAAAAAATGTTATCGATAACAGCCTTGTCGATACACTCGATTTATTCATAGTATAATTAAAGAATTATTACTTTTTCCATACAAACACACACTTGTAAAATATAAAAAAATATTAAATTAATATCAGTTAAACCCAAAAGTTAATTACCGATTTACAATTGGACGAGCATAGCCGCTTTTCTTACGAAAAACTATAATAAACAAAATAAAATATCGCAAAAGCTATCTAACCAATTGCATACAATAATATGTATGATCATATGGTATATACAAATATATGATTAATTATCATATAAACAAATATTACAATTTATCGAAAATGAAATGTGTTAATGTAAATAATATACAGTGTATCACATCGGTAGTAAGTAGTTAAAGTTTTTTATTTGATATAGTAATTCAACGGGTTATTATCTTTCACAGAGTTACTCGCCAAAACTATGCAGTATGTATAAATGCATGTATATGGTATATGGTATGGGCATGCTATAAAATACAACTACAAATACACAGTTACGTATGTATGTATGGTTGTGTTTATATCAGGCTCTGTGTCATTGCATAAAATATGGTATGGGCATGCTATAAACTACAACTATAAATATACAGTTACGCATGTATGTATGGATGGTTGTGTTTATATGTACTTTCGCTTAAATCTATATCTAAATAAGTTAGTAAACATGTCATTTTTTATTTTCTATATGTCAACTGAGTAATTGTGAACTTCGCTAGGGTCCACATCTTTCATAAATATCAAAGATAGCTCGGGTTGCAAACTGAAGTTTGTACGAAAATAACGTTCTTGCTTAAGGCACTTTTTACACCTTATATAAACTTTGACCAGCTGCCAGATAAGTGTACACATTGATTTACAGTGCGGACTAGGCTGCCCTCACATGGAATATGATATGATATGAATCTCAAAGACTTGGTTTTTTAAGTATACACACAGATAATACATATTTCAGTATTGAATACCTCCACTTTGAACCCTTCTTCGATTAACACTCAATGCAGATAAATGGAAAATCAGGAAAATCTGTTCCTCTGTGTTCGAAGACATTTTCACTCAGCATTAACAAATTCATTATTCTCATATATCGGACATGCCGTAAGCCAAAAAGGGTATTGAATCTTGGGCGTGCCGAAGATAATCATTATTTTTGTTGTCTTTTTAATTAATTAAATTTTTTGTTTTTTTTTTTTCATTTTAGCTATTCACTGAGAGTTGAAGAATTTATAGATGATATCTACCTCACAACGTAAAAAATGATTGGCCCCAGTTCACAAATAAGCAAGATATTATTAACGCTCTTGTTTTTGTTAATAATGTTCTATATGTTTATGGATTTTGAGCTGTATCTGCGTATTCATAATTATGCTATTAACCGAAATTATCACATCAACACCTCGACAACGTCGATATCGTCGATGGAACCATCCAATTTGGCATCCGCTTCGAGCAGTGGCCCGAAACCTCCCACCGTTGAAAAAGAACCGTCCTATGAAGATAATACGTGGATATCATGCAATATAAATCCACTTTGTCATATTACGGTTAAGGCGATACTGCTGGATCATACCAACCACTATCTGTTCGCACCATTGGCAACAATCTTTGACAATGTGGTTGGCATCTCGCAATCGACGTTCATAACACCCAACATGATATCATTTTTTCATGTTGTGGTCGCTTGCGTATCGGGAAAACTTGTGGCCTCCGATAGCCTGGGATACAGGCGGCTTGGTGTACTGCTTTTTCAAATTCGCACGTTCCTCGATGATTTGGATGGCCATGTTGCGCGTGTAAGGAAACATATACGTGGCGAGCGCTCGGAGATTGGAACGTCTGGCTATTATGTTGACGGACTCTGCGATGGACTTGGATGCATTGCGCTACTACTTGGCATATTCTTCTTTTTGAAAAGCAACCCACCTCGCCGAGGCTACTCGATAATTCCAATGAGCGACTCGAAAGCGACTCCTGAGCCAACTATTATTCCTAAAATTAAGGCAACTACACGCAAGGTTGCCAAAAATGTTATTAGCTTTACTGGCCAACTTTTACTAAGCTCTACGGCATGGAATCGTTATATCGCTGTCTATCAGAATATGTTGGAACGCGAAGATGTCAACAGCAGCCAGTACCAGTGTCAGAACTATATATTTAAGTCCACATTATTTTTTTCTGTGGCTTGGATGTGGCGCATCGTCAACGTGCATGCCCTGCTTCATTGTGTTTTGCTTAGTATCTTTTGTGACAAATTGTGGGATTTTCTACGAGCGATACGTTACAGTGGATATATAATATTACTAGTTGCCATTTGCTTAACTGAAATGCACATCTTGGAGGCCCAAAACTATATATTTAATTCATCAGCGTGCAGTAATATCTCACTGTGATTTTAACTATATTACTGAAAATACAATAATATTTTTGTAGTCGAGATCAACAATGCCTTTTTATACCCTGTACCCATAATTTTAAATTGTGTTTGTGTGCAAAATACATATACATTGTGATTGTGCAACTTAGGGTAAATACTTTAGTATGTATCTGTCAAATATATTAATATGCATGTAGACAAAAAACGTGCACTTCCAATTTCTAGCGAGCTTATTCCCTTAAGTTAATGGGGAGAAGCACAGAAGCGACAATTTACGGCTTCATTTGATTTATATTAAGTTTATACCCTGTGCCCATTAGTGGCCTTTTAACACCTTTGCCTCTAAGGCAAGGATGAGATTCTGGCATAAACAGGCGATCAAACCTCCATTAAAGGTCACTGCCAGCATTTCTACCAGACAGATTGTCCTTGGCTTAATTAATTGCTCGACGAATGTGAGAAGACGCTCAAGCCTATTTACTACAGGGAAAGTAGTTCTTCAGAGCAAAGTTTGCACATTTTTTAATGCTCGGCTTCACGAGCTGCAATATCCACGGCCACAGACATAGACTCTGCAAACGCTCTTTCAACTCGTCTGATTCGTATGACAGTCTGATGCTAAGACTATTAACTATGAATAGTTGCAAATGTTGAAGTTCAATAGTTGAGATAAAATGATTTTATTTTATTTTATTTTAATGGTACCATATGGGTAGAGTTTTATATTTTATAATTAGAGAAAATTTGATTTTTCCGTAGAGTTTTGAGAGCCACTGCTCTGATTTGACCATGAGTTACCTGAAGGGCAGCCATTCTGTAAAATATTTGAAAAAAATGTATGTTTTCATATTTATCTTAATGGCAATTTCTTACCTGATCATTAGCAGCCGAGTTATCACCTTTGTTCATGCCGCCAGAACCAGAATTGTTTGGATTGTTTGAACCTTTGCGATTGCCAGAGTTCATATTAGATGCGTTTGAATGCCCTCCGTTGTTTTGAGCCATCCATGATAAAAAATTGCCTCCCTGAGAAGTAACTGAAAGAGTTTTTTGTTTGAAACAATGATAGTGTATAGAAGGCTTGCCTGCTGATCCTGGTTTTGATTTTGCAGCTGATTGCCAAGAAGGCTCCACTGATTCAACGCAGCAGCAACCAAAGCAGGGTTCATCGGCAATGAGTTTAAATTAAGTCCAACGCCTAAAGGGTTGTTCATGTTTTGCCCTTGATTGGAAGAGCTGGATCCTTGCGAATTTATGCCTAATGCTTGTAGGTTAGGCATGTCCAAATGTCCCCTGTTCATCCAACCACCATTGCCTACGTTGCCATTGTGTGGCTGGTTCATGCCATGAAAATTATTCTGTCTATTATAGGACATACCACCTTCTTGGCGGTTCATGTTCCCACCACTATTATGATTACTACCGTTTGTGTAACCCCCACCCAAATTTCCACCAAAATTATTGCTACCCATTCCGTAGCCACCACTGCCAATGTTGCTGTGACTATTGCCGATTGCAGTGCTATCACCTCCGTGTGCATTGTGTTGGTTATTACCTCTATGATGTCCGCTACGGCCAGAGTTCATGTGATTTCCTTGTGGATGGTATGAATGCATCCCGAAATTATTTCCAGAGTTATAGTTGTAATTTTGGCCTTGGTG